GGGCAGAAGCCCTCCTTTTTGACGCAGCGGTCAAGACATAGACATCAAACGGCAAAACATATTCAGTGTGCAGTTCCTTTGGCATTAGGGCAGGGATATCTAGATACTTTTGAAGGTTTAACATAATTAATTGTGCTACTTTTAAAGCAAGCAACGATGTTTTCAAATCTGTAATCAAAGAGGTCCGCAAAAACGCTATCGACCAATCAGATTGCTTGATTTGACTTGTCAGTTTTATAAATATATTTAAATTTCTTCCGTTACGAAACAAACTTACAAAGCATAAAATGGATGGTTGGAACCACGCCCCTTAGCTGTGATATAATGAGCATATACCACGGCCTGTCGTGAGCTATTGCTTAAATATATATATATATATATACATACATATTGATTAGTGCAGCTTTAACTACATTAAGCTGTCATCACATTCTTTATTTTTAAAATTTAAAAAAATGTGCAGAGAAGTCCTCCGATTACACCTTGCCTGTGACATACACATACTTGTCAACCCTCCCGATTTTCGCGGGAGACTCCCGATTTCATTGCCCTCTCCCGGTTTCCTCCCGGGGTCATATTTCTCCCGTATTTCTCCCGATTTCTGACAAAATCAGATTTACACACGACTGTTTCCACTCGGACTTTAATACAGCTACACCATTGTTTGGTTTCCATGGTAACACGTCTCTTTAGTAGCGTGCGCAACTCAAAGTCTGAGAGGGTGAGGCAGATATTCACAGAAAACAGAACAAGAATCGACAACTACTCTACTCTCTGCTCACTCCTTTCCTGTAAAATACAGGTCCAGCCCACACATATGCTCAATCAATGACGGTGCTACAGGCCGCAAGGCAGTGCACTTACAACTACAATAAGCATGTTAATGTTAATCTAACAGCTCCGGCGATTTTGCATTTTGAAATGCTCCCGATTTCTGAGGTCTAAAGGTTGGCAAGTATGGACATACAGTATGTTACAACATTAATATATATGGCTGCAAGCAATTTAGACTCCACCCTTTGTCAGAGTAATATAATATGACTTTGGCACAAATATGTTTTTATGCACAAAAACGTGGAATTCTACTCACTGACTTATTCACTGACTGCAGGAAACAGACACTCTCCCACCCTATGTAGTTTTAAAACTCAGTGCATACCTTTTATAAGCTCATTTTGGACATTAAACATGCAATTTAAGAAGCAGTCTGTCAGATACAGTTGAGCTCTAAGCCTACTTTACAGTATTACGTTCTTCATGCTGGTAAACGAAGCTTTGTATACTTTAAGCCTTACATTCCACAACACGCCCTGTGAATGAACACACATTCCTCTCACAGCGAGAGCTCACACCCTGGTGGAAAACTCTCATTACCTTCACTTACATTCTCAAAAGTCTCCTTTTGTTGCAGGTTAGATGGGCATCTTATCATTCCTTTGTGAGCAGTATCATTTTGTGGTGCAGTTTGGAGCTCCTTGCAGCAGTTTTCTCCCAGTAAACTGAGACCCGCCTCTTAGTCCTCCTCAAGTGTGAGCAGAAAAATGCTGCAATATTTGTGTTTTGTGCTGCTTCCTCAGGCAGATGTTAACGGTTATTGCTTTACAGCGAGTAGGAAGTGGACATTCCACGTGTGAGACTGACGTTGCACAGTCCCGTGTGTGTGTGTGTGTGTGTGTGTGTGTGTGTGTGTGTGTGTGTGTGTGTGTGTGTGTGTGTGTGTGTGTGTGTGTGTGTGTGTGTGTGTCTATTTGGACACAGTGACGTATTTTAACACTTCTGTTCCCAACACTGACATTTTGAATTTCGGGGTCTCAAACACAACCATGAAGAAATGGTTGTCAAACAGTTTGGCTGAAAGAGCCAATAACTACTATCACAATTTTAATGTTTTCCATCAAACATAATAACTTTGACTATTGTGTAATTCTTCATGTGAACTAAAAAGTAGCTGAAAACATAAATATTCAAAACAAAATCTCATGCTTATTTTTGTTTTATTGTTTTATTTGAAAGGCTCAGGCATTTCCTAAAACTGTAGTTTTTCATAGTTTTCTGACTACAATTGTGTTTTGTTGCAGGGAGGAATGAAATTACATTGAAATAAGAAGCAACAAGAAGTAAAACATGAAATGAATGAATTAAAACAAAAGAGAACAGAGATGAAGATTTAACATCTCTCTACCAGTCTTATAGATACACAAGAGGATTTGCTTTCAGTAGGGCAGTATGCACTGCCCTCTAGTGGTGGAAAGAGATCAGGGACCTGAATCAGGGTCAACGGTCACAGAGAAGGCCTGCTGCATGTTTGCTCTGGTTACTGTGTGGATGATAACTACCTCTCATATGATACATCAGTTAAGATGATGAAATGTTGAAAAAAACAATAAAAATATCTGCAAAATCATCTATATTAATTTTCACCGAACTGTCACAACTGATTAAAGACATTGTTGTGTTCAAAGTGATATGTCATCAATAACGATATGAATTCCTTTGAAGATACGTGAAAACAAATATGTAAGTGGTGATGTTGACTTTTAGCAAATCTTGAGATAAAGTGTAGTTAGCTTAGCTTAGCATTCCTACTCGAGTTAAGAGTGAAGAGCATGTAAGTAATATCAGCGTGTTTTTGTCTCTGGCAGCTCTCGGTGCTGTTGAAAGCCAGCAGCAGATGAAGAACAGATTAGTGTCAGGACCTCGGCTAGGTGTTAGCTTTATATCCTCTCGGAAATTCTACCACATTTTCTGTAGCTATCAAATGCTAGGGGCTGCACTCAAGATTTGAACCCTGCGATAATGTGACTGCTGTATGAAAGTTCTTCCACTGCTGCGGAGTCAGAGCCACGAACATATATATATATTATTATGAAATGGACCAATCTGCGCATATCATATGATATGTTTTATATTTTTGTGTCATTAAAATGTTAAAGGTATTAAATGCATGTACTAGTGGAGTAGTACACCTAAAATGAAGCTGAGTAGAAGTACAAAGTAGCAACAAATGGAAATACTCAAGTAAAGTACAAGTATCTCAAAATTGAATTTAAGTACAGTTCTTGAATAAATGTACTTAGTTACTTCCCACCTCTGGGCCTGACCAACTACCATACTGACATAGTCATGTGACATGTTATGCTAGTAGTTTAGCCACGTTACCATCGATGCAGCATAGTTCAAAAATACAGACTGCTTGTTCTCTGAAAGCAGCTTCAGAAAAACTCCCTCCAGAGCCACTGATACATTGATTTACTATTTTCACTGGCTGAGTCCTACTGATGTGTAAACGTATCTTTATGTGTAAAAGCAGATGATGAGTCTCTATTAGCCGCTAAAGAAGACATCTTGCTGTGAGACCCAGATAGCTTTTACAATGTAATTCATGACTTCTCTGAGCTTGATCAGTATTACATATGACCTAAGTGTTAGGTTTACTGGGGATATACTGTGACTGTCACAAGGACTGTAGTATTTCCAGTAGTGGAGTATTCCTCATGCTCTCTCCTCCTTGACCATGTCTCCTTCTTAGCCTTCCTGACTAATGCTACATGATTGAACGACTGCTGTTTTAATGTGGACTCCAGAAGTAACTGTATCTCCTCAAGACCTGCAGCCACCAGCCCTCTCACTAAAATAGTACACTAAATATATCTTGTTTGTGCGGATGAGTTTTCAGTAATTCGTCTCCAGTTAATGTTTGGAGCAACACCTCACTCTACTGTGTGGCCCGGCAGACAGTGGGAATTTCACCAGGTCGGTGAACGAAATTATTAAAGAAACATTTTGCAGGGGTCATTCTTTGTTTGTTGAATTACTCTATATCGACGGTAACCGGCCTGGATTACCCTGCTAGGAGTCCCAGGGAAAGAAATGAGCTGCTGGCCCTTTTTAACCCTCTTTACTTCAATCTGCATGATTTACATTATATCTGGCAGCATCGTGGTCATTTGAAGTCAATGTAAATTGAAATATTATGATTTGAGTTGACAAGGTTTTCATTCTTTTTTCCTTCCGTTATATAAAAAAAACATTTTTGAGGACATTGTAGACATGGGGAGAGAGGTAGGGTTATAAAAGGCTACACAGATTCCAGAATTAAACACAAAACATAATGCGATGCAGCGATTAATCAATAAAAGGTTTGAATAGATCCAGAGGACCAACTCCCAGACCAGGGCGCTTTACAGTCCGTCGAAGGTAAGTCATTTTATCGTTGTAGCTATTGTCAGCTTTTTAAGTGAATTTCAGTTCCCTTTGGTAAACAGTTATGCTGTAAATAATGCTTTTATTGTGAAAGGAGAGAACAGAAGGAGTGGATCTAGTATGCGCTGCTTTTGTAAAGGTTGAAAATAAAAGTAATACGTTTTTTTTTTTACTTCATAATTTTCCCTTTCTTTTTGAAGAATTAATGACAACAGTTTGAAAAGAAATATTGGTGTGCTGGTTTATTGGAAATAATATTTAAAAAACGCCCCTTGTGTTTAAAGGCCTTATTTAAATCCTTCACATCACGAGTTCAGCCTTCACTCCAGGTTATTCCCCACTGTGATCCACAGTATTCCGTCTCATCCAATGTTATCCCCTGTACAACTAATCTCAGACAGCAGTTGACCTTAGCGCTGGCCTGACCCCATATACCCAGACCCATGTACCCAGACCCATATACCCTGACCCATATACCCAAACCCATATAACCAGACCCATATACCCAGACCCATATACCCAGACCCATATACCCTGACCCATATACCCAAACCCATATAACCAAACCCATATAACCAAACCCATATACCCAGACCCATATACCCTGACCCATATACCCAAACCCATATAACCAAACCCATATACCCAGACCCATATACCCTGACCCATATACCCAAACCCATATAACCAAACCCATATACCCAGACCCATATAACCAAACCCATATACCCAGACCCATATACCCTGACCCATATACCCAAACCCATATAACCAAACCCATATACCCAGACCCATATACCCTGACCCATATACCCAAACCCATATAACCAGACCCATATACCCAGACCCATATACCCAAACCCATATACCCAGACCCATATACCCAGAGCCATATACCCAGACCCATATACCCTGACCCATATACCCAAACCCATATACCCATATTTCGCGTCATTCAATCCAGAGAGATATTAGACCCTTACAGCAATTGAGTTGGAAATCAAGAGAGTGAAGAAAGAAAGAAAAAATATCAGTGCAAGTCCAAGGTATTATTAAGCTCTATAAACCACATCTGCATTTGAAGCTTCCTGTGCTGCCAACACCACAAACACAACCTATCCTTAAGGATCTCCTTTTGTGCAAAGAAAGAACAGGATGAGGTAAATATAAAAAAACACATGACTTTGACCAAGCAGAACTTTTGCCCTTTGTGGCCAACTACCTATTTACTTCAGGGACCTACTTTTTTTAATTCACGACAATAGCCACATTTCTAACACTGTGACCATGCATCTACATACGAACAATTTGGAATGAGGACGTGGTGTGAAATGACAAGTGAAAAGCAATAAATGCGTTGACATGGTAAGTCTCAAAAACGCAATGTCCTTGTGCCGGCTTTTCTGTGACCATCCAGAACAGAAAAATAAACTATATGTCAATATGATTAAGTACCTTTCATGCATTTTGTGGCTTATTATGTACATATTAATAATAATGTCCAACTCACAGTAAACAACAGTAAACCTCCGACCTGAGCCCCTGGAGTCCTACTTGGTTGCAGTTGTACCGCACCAACGTTTATATTTGTCTTAGTGGTGAAAATTAGAAGAATTGCCAGCCACAGCATCAATAGAAGCTAACAGCATACTACAACTTTTAGAAATTGTTGCAACAGTATTACTACAGTAAGACTTACAGAGGACACATCCCTCTGACGTCTCAAGTGCCCTCAAAGAGCGCTGACAGCAGCCAAGGCCAGGTCTATACATCAAAAATAATGCATGTGTGTTATTCAGAACTGTTCCAAAACATGAGGGTTCTTGCCTGGCCCGTGCTATCTTGCCATCAAGTTTCATAAATATCATTCTGCTCCTGCTGACAGACATACAAAGAGACGAACCAAAAACAAAACCTTCTTTGGAATGGAAATTAAAATGTGTCCTGAAGCGCGGTTTACCTGTAGTTACAGACCTTTAGATCACAAACATACTCTCTGCCTGATTCTTCTCAGAGTTACTATCAGCTCATTGCTACAGGATATGGGTTGGATACTTGTATCTCAGTATCTGACACAAGTGGAGCTGAGTTTCCCCCAGTTAAGCTCAGGGTCCTCTCCGGTTTCTCCCTCAGTATTACTGTATTACACACTACTGGCTGGGATTGGCGGGGACATTTTTGTTGGGCCTACCAAGAGCAATATCAAACCCCCCCCCCCCCCCCCATAGCATGGTGGTAAGTTCAGGGCCCCTGCCAGCCAACCATCATCTTTCCCAGCTATTCATTCCAATTAGACTGGACTCCAGTTCTACAGCGACGTTAATGTCTGTCTCATACCACTTGTATTATCATACAGGGTTGTTATCATAGTTTTCTAAATTAGTTTCAATGTGGTGGCATTTATTGGTAAATAATGTCCTTAAAGCTGCACAATATTTGCATGTATTAAATAGCCCTGGCATTCTCCTCTTTCCAATCATTATTAATAATCATATTTACTGTTTTCGTGATCCCCATAGAGCTTATGGAACATATTGATGGGCCACCAGTTATATAGAACCAGGAGTTAACATTTGAATTGACTTTATTCTGTTCATTTATGCTAACATCCTAAATGTGCTAATATATGGTTGAATCCTTATATAATATTTAAAAAGAAAATCAACCCACATATTTTTTCTACTTCACTCTACAAAAGATTACAGACACATGTACAAACCATCTTATTCTGTCATCTGTAACTGATCAGGAAAGTTTCTATATCTGTACATGCCAGAGCTTCAGAAATGACGGATATTTTCACATTTGGGGTAAATTCCCCCTCCTACAAAGTTGCTCAAATTAAGCACATCTTCGTATGATATTTGCTAGGTGGATCTAACATGATAAAACGTTTTTTTAAAAAGCCTCTTGGAGGTTTACTGTAAACCAAGTTGGCCATTTCAACTGTTATGAGCAATCTAGAATGTCCAACAGCAACACTCAATACTGCTTAGTCCTCTACAATTGAGGTCTGAAAATGGAATATCATAAACTTTACAATATATATAAAAATACAAAAAAATCGCCTTAATTCCATGTATTTCACACTTTTAAAATGGTGTTAGTTACATCATTTTGTGGTTTAGTTACTGTTGGCTTTAACAAAACCCAGTCATGGCCACAAATGTTTTAAACTTAACTTGACATCCCAGAGTCAGAGTCATGTTTGATAAATGTTTTTGTTTGTATTAGGAAATGTGTGATTGATAATGCTTTTCGATATATCCTAGCCATTAAATGTGGAAGTCAATTCACTCAACATATTTTTTAAATGTAATTAAATTGAAATGTATTATTTTCTTTTTCATACCTGCAGATTCCAAGTATTAACATGAGGTTTCCAGGATATTATAATCTGAAATATCTCTAAAGACATTTGAAAGACTATATTTCAAAAATATATAATGTTTTATTATCCTTTCCTGAATATGAAAGATAAATTAATTGTGACCTACTTATGCTTTGGACCCCCTGACAGCTTCCAAAGGCCCCTAGCAGTCCCTGGACCCCAAACTGGCCCCTACTGACCCAGACTAATCCCCCGGGAAGGAAAAGCAGTCCAACATGCACAGTGTATCAATCCTCAGGGGGGTGTGCTGTTGCTGAGTTGTTGTCACTCGAGTGTTTATCTGCCAGACTGCCTTCATCTCTAAGGCGTTACAAAACCCTGCAAACATTCCCTCCCGTCTAACATCGCTGCACCTTCCACATTTTCACTTGCTATATTTGAGCTTGGTGTAAAAACACAGCCGGTGAGTGATCTGACTGCAGGATCAGTTATCTGCAGCTCCCTCTGATGCCCCTTTCACATCAACGCGGTTCCCGTTTAGCTCCGTGCTAGAGCTTTTCTGGTTCGGAGCCGGTTTTTATTTTCAGCCCCCGTTTTGTTCACACCGCCCAGAGCCCGACTGGTACTGCTACGGCTGTGCCATGACGTCACCGTTTAGGTCGCTGATTTTCTCCTCAACGGCGTCGGGTCGATGATCGTGTTGCTTTTAATCATACAAAGCCAGATTAAATTAAATAACTACTTCTCAACCCTTGTACTTTTCTCCAGAGTGCCGTGGTTCATTGTTTATTAATGTGATTCAGCAGCATTACCGACCGCTGCAGTGCTGCACGCTGTTTGGCATCACAACGCTGTTATGAAAGTTTATCTGGTATAAAATGGGTGATGTTAGAATAACAACCGCAGCTAAACTGACTATCTTGATGACTTGTTGCTATCCTTTTGTAGCATAAGCCGTTTTCCACAGGCACATTTTACCGGCGTATTTTTCATTATGATTCTAGTTGTGATAGTCGGACATGACAACCTGTGCGGCCCATGTATTGATTCCATCCGATAGCTGCTATAATACAAAACAAAACGTCTGCCTGCTCTCCACAATGATCAATAACAGCGAACGGATGGTCAAAGTAAGGTGCAAATAAACAGAATCAAACTAAGCCTGGTTAGTGTTGCCTGACTTTATAAAGTGTGTTTTTTTTATAAGTGTGTGGTTGCGTTCTAGTCACTTTGCTCAGCGCTACTGCTTGTTACAACTTTAATTTGCCGTACTCGCCATAATCTGTTATTGCTCAGGTTGATCCTGCCACTGCCCCCGCCTCCGATGTAAGCGGTTCTTGTTTCTAGACCGACAATTTTTTGGTACTTGAAAAGCACCGGGTTTCGGAGCTTAGAGTCGGTTCCGCTGCGGTGTGAACAGGAAAAAACTGTGCTTTTCAAGCTCTAGCTCCGAACCGGCCCTGGAACCGTGTTGGTGTGAAAGCACCAATAGAGGAGCTGGGCTCTTATGGCGCATTTCCACTATAGTGCGGTTTGAGCGTGCTGTGCCCGGCCCGTTTTTGGTTGCGTTTCCACTAGGGGTAGTTCCGGCTAGCGGGTACTTTTTCACAGTTTTCTGGCTCTCCAAAATCGAGGTTCTTTCCGGGCCAACAACCGGGCTGAGTATGCTAAACTAGAGAGAGAATCGCTGGCAAGGGGGCTACAACTACAACAAAATGAAAATATTTTACCGTGATTTAATTGTAATACACGTTTCAAAATGATGCCGAAGTGACAACATACTGACACCGGTTAGTAAAAACCATGAATTAATGCTTTGACAAGTCTGCAGACAGACGGCAGACGAAAAACCTTTTAAAATGCCGTATTCTGAATGGAGATCGGCTAAGCTAACGCTGTATATGCTCCGACCGTCAGAGACATGTTTTGTATATGGCCCTATAATATATTGTTCAAATATAGTATAGTAGGTGACCTTCAATGAAAGTGATCATAATTTTTTCTTCTGGAAAAACGTGGAATACTTCTACCATGTTATTTTTCTGCCACTAACATAAAATAATAATAATAACTTGAACTTATATAGCACCTTTCATCAACCCAAGGTCGCTTAACAAAGAAACATATAAGGACAAGACATACAACAGGGGGGGGGGCAGAAATGGAAGTGTTACATAGCATGAGGGGGGAAGAGTGAGTTAATGTTGGAAGGCTTTGTTGAACAGATTAGTTTTTGAGGGTTGTTTTGAAGATGTTTAGAGAACCTTTATCCCTACATAAAAACATTTGGTAACGAGTCAAATTTGACTCGAGGATGACAGGAAGTTAAACAGGAAAAATAGGTGAGTCGTCCACATGTAGAAATGTGTCAAAGTCATCTTTATTATCAATATCTCCAAGTGTGTGGTTCAAACAGGGAGACCAAAATGCTGTTTCCCACGGTCCCAAAGATTAAAATATATAAATATATACATACAAAATATTAAAAAAGGGCACAACAATAAATATATAAAAATAGGAGTCTGGGAGACAAAAAACGGTTGAATACATGACAAGGGGGGAATATTGAACAGTGCAAATAATTCAAATATCTAGAGGTAGTGCAATAAGTGTCCATAGCAGCTTGGTGTCCTCTCCATGATTCCTATTGGTCCACGAACCACAGCTTGAGAAACATGTGGCCTAGACAGTAGTTACTGATGTCTCTGGTCCTTTTTAGATTCTCGTCTTTGGGATTCATATCGCGGTGAGCTGGAATGTTTGGAGCGCGTCCCTTCCCTGTCACCGTGTCTGTCTAACCAGGCGCGAGGCTCAGCGCGCAGCACCGTCTCAGACTGGAGGACTGTGGAATCCTGGGGGGCTACGCTGTTTCCTTCGGACTCCAAATGTAAAGTTAAACCTGGAGGTTCAGCTATGAAGGCAGAGCAAAGCTGTGAGGAGACGCAGGCTACTCGGGAGGTCAAGGATCTGTTCGAAAAACCTGCTCAGGAAGAGGAGGATGCCCCGGAGAAGCAAGACGAGATGAAATACGTCGATGTGGAGTTAGTTGAAGTCAACACAGGCGAGGCAAAACTGGAGAAAGACTGCTGCTTTGGTGAAGGAAACCAAATGTCTTTCCTTATTAACAGCGGTGTCGACGAGGATCTGCGCGCAACGGAACCAAAACTGTCGATCAAAATCAATATTGAGACTAACAAGACAGAGGATTCTGAAGTTGGGAAATGTACACAAGATGTCAAGGAGGGTCCTTCTGAATCGTCCTCGTTATTGGATCCCCCCTGTAATAACGCAAAGTCGGGGAATCAACCCAAATCAGGAGACAAAGGCGAGCGCGTAATTACGCAAGTGTCCAAAACAGAAGAGAACCCAATCACGCCCAGAGGTGAGGGGTTACCCTGCAGTGACACTGATCAGTGGAGGAGTGAGGATGATTATGAGGAGGATGATGATGTTAGTTTGGTGCTTTCATACGCCTGTGTCCCGTGCGTCACTGAGGATGAGTCCCATTACATTACCACGCACGAGATCCAGCTCTCCGAGCTTTCGGACCACGAGGAGGACTACGACCTCGGAGTGGCCTCCTCCGGCAGCTGGGCCATTGAGGATGACTACCAGGTGTACTCTTTTGTCGATTATGCTTCTTTTGAGGGCGATGAAGAGGAGGGGGGCAGGGGCTCGCGCGGCTCCGCAGCAGGAGTCAGCACTCTGCTTGAAAGTGATCTGTGCGACGCGGCCAAGTTCCCCAGCTCAGATGAGAGTGTGTCAAAGCCCCAGCAGCAGCAGTGCAGTGGCAACAGTGCGGGACAGATCCACCTGTCAATCAGAACCACTCGAGCTATAAATGACCCTATCCAAGAACAGGGAAACATCCTTTATCATGCCAGCCGCTCCGGGGACACGAGTCGGTATGTGTTTAGGGGAGTTGACGGGAAGTCGGAGACGTTGTGTGACAGGGCGAAGTGTTTCATAGCCGCGCCCGGACGCTTGCACTTTGGCCGCAGATTGAGGGGGAAAGAGGTCACCGAGGTTTCCAGCGGTGCGTCCAGCGCTGTCAGCGAACTGGACGACGCTGACAAGGAGGTGCGCAACCTGACAGCCAAATCCTTCAAGAGCCTGGCATATCCTTATCTTGACGCCATTAATTTCAGCACAACAAGTGAATCATCATCAGAACATGGGAAAGGGATAAACAGGTGGTCCACCTTTGTCGACCTGAAATATGGCAATATGAATATGTCAAAGGGAATGGATAAAAGTGTGCTTTCCCATCAAAACTCATCGGCCTCATTTGAATTAGCCAAAAATATAGACAATAGAGGTTATAAGGGCATTGCACTTGCAAGCATCAAACCGCCCACCAGCAAGATGTTCACTCTGAATGGCAACCCCCACAGCGCATCGTCATCTACAAAGCAAATAGAGCTGATGGGGGAATTCAGTAAGGGCCACGGCGGACTGATAACACTCACAGAGACTCTGAATTTTCGGTGCAATGTGAATTCGGGAATGTCTGAGGGAGAAATGCACACTAACTTTGCACAAAATGCGGCAGGATCACGTTCCACAGATGAAGTTACCAACAGTTTGCCAAGCGGCAAGGGGAGAGGGGCCAGCAAGTCGCCCTGCAAAACCATGGAAGACACACACAAGAAAGCCATATTCGCCTCGAGTCTGATCAAAAATGTGATTTCTAAGAAGATGCAGTTTGAACAGGAGCGCAAGATGGAAAGAGGGGAGATCCGCGAGGCGCAGTGGGAGCATGCAACGGGCTTTGCGCACCAGGAGAGCGACAGCTACAGGGGGAAGGGAGGCAGGGAGCTGCACACACAGAGCTCCAGGTTCTCCGAGAGCAGCTCGGACTACACCATAATGTGTCTGGATGAATTAGGAGACATTGTGGACAGCGGCTCATGTGATACCAAAAGCGACTCAAGACGCCGGGACGCGACCGCATCCGGTCCAGAAACTAATTTGGACCCGGTAAATGAAGCTGGAATCAATACTAAAAAAGGGGCATTGGAAGCGCCCAAAAGTACGCTGCTTCGAAGCCAAAATAGCGCATTCAGATGCTGGAAGGACGAGGAGCAAGAGTTTAAAAAGGATCATAAAAACGATCAAACTCTGGAGAAGTCGTCTTCAGCTTACGAGAAAGAGGGCGAGGGGCATCAGTACTCGGCTGGCAGCGGGAAACTGACTAAAATGTCACATTTGTTTGTGCCAAGTATCCAACTGCTGTCCACTGACGGAGAAGAAGAACAGCAGCTGCGGAGCAGGAGTTATTCTCCATATGGAGATGAAGGAGTGATCCAAGAACGCTCTGATAACATCGCTGATTCCAGGAATGTGGGCAAATCTAAATCTCCGGAAATAAAAATTAAGTTAAGGAGCTTCAGAGAAAATACAACGGAGCATTTCGGCGTCTCCAAGCTGCGCGCCCCTAATATAGGCTGTAACGCAGCCAACCTCGGCAGAACAGATGACTTCAAATGCCACGAGCTGGCTGCGGCTTTAAAGGGTGAGTCGTCGGATAAAGTCCCGCATTTCATGGTTAGAGACATTAGAGATAATAAATCAAAGTTGCAAACGCCCATACACCAAGTGAGAGACGTGCGTAAATTGGTTAAAAGTTCGTATCACTTTGTTTCTTTGGATAACAACGAAAATAAATCAAACTTTCTATCCGTTGACACCCATTCAGAGCAAAATAAGCAAATGTCCAATCGAAATCCTAATTCGATGTCCCCTATAGTTATCAAATGCCAGTCTGTGAACACAAATAATAACGGAAAATATTCGGAAAATACGGATTTATTTAAACGGGAGAAGTTTGACACAGACAGGTCGTCTCCAGAGGGTGCTAAACATGCTCCTCTGCAGATGGCAGCAGGGAGAGCACACATGGGCAACCTGAGTCATTCCTCAGATGGATATATTGCATTGAGAAGTGAAAGCAGAACACCTTCAAAGAAGCAAGAACAAATTGCAGATATCATAGATAAGAAACCTGAATCAAAAATACCAAATCAGGGGCCTTTGGAAAAACTCCAGGCTGCTGTGAAAACCATGGAACAGCTCTATACGTATGACAAAAATGAATGGAAAAGGAAGAATGAGTCCCATGTCCTGGCAGACAGACATGTGCTTTCGCTGATTACCAGTGGAGACCATGGGGGACCTGAGGAGGAAGCTGGGGGGTCCAACATGGACAAGACAGTCAGAAGAGACTCCTTTCCCAACAATGACAAGCCCCCTCCAGTGATATCTGGCCCTGACAGCCTGCTGAGGTCCATGCAAGGTAACAGCACAGCCGCAAACATGTTCAGCCTCAGCTCCAGCCTTAAGGCAGCCGCGTTGGCAAAGCAAAACTCCAACACACAAACCATACCTTTCAGCCACAACAGCTTTGTCCCAAAATCTCCCAAGCTTCCTGTTTCCTTAAAGATCTGCCCTATGTATCTACGTAGAAGTGAAGAAGCTCAATCAAAGGAGGAGAGGCCCGCACGGGAGTTCCTGAACGCCTCAGTTGACAACGAGAACTACCTTACCATTCCGGTCAAGTCTCACGCCAGCATTAACAAACAAGCATCGTCCGCTGATAAACCTTCAGTGTACACGTATGCTCCCCAGAAACAACCAACCCCTCCTTCAGGACCTTTGGGATCATTTGTGGAAAACCACAACCAGAACGCACAGCGCTCCAGCATGGTGATGGACACACGCTCACCAGAGGTTTCCCCTGCAACCATCTACCACTCTCTACCAATGGGCATGTCCATCAGTCAGCCTCAGGTGTACTGCTTTTCTCCAGCCATCACCCCAGCTCCTATCATGGACCCCTTCCAAGCCACCCAGAGGAAGATGCTGCTAGATCCCACCACTGGAAACTACTACCTGGTGGACACTCCTGTGCAGCCGGCCACTAAGCGCCTCTTTGACCCTGAAACAGGCCAGTATGTGGACGTGCCCATGCCTCAAGCTCCTATGACCCCGGTGCCAATGCCCATGTCACCTTTGGCGCTCAGTCCAGGAGCTTACGGACACCACTACATGATCTACCCCGGCCTAATGTCCTCACCGTCCCTCATCCCGGCCCGGACCCTGGTGCAGTCCCACATGTCGGTTCACTCGGAGCCGGACAGCGGAGACAAAGCCTTGTCCCAGCAGCCTGAGGGTCTGTACATGGAGAGCCCCTTCTACATGGCCAAAAGAAAGTCCCCCCACGCTTCCTACGGGCCTCCGCAGCAGGCCGCCGCCCACAGGCACCCGCAGGGCTTCTCCAGCGCCATGCAGCCGCTCATCAGCATCAGCTCCCAGCAGGGGCCCCGCATCATCGCCCCCCCCTCGTTCGATGGGACCACCATGAGCTTTGTGGTGGAGCACAGATGAGCAGTAGCTTACCTTCACAGGTGAGTAGTTTTGTCAGGCTTTTGTATGTACGTACAGTGTTTGGTTTGAGTATGTATAAGAAACCAGGAAGGTGTATTGTGTCATGGACCATGGTTACAGATATAATTGGATATGATTTGTTTTTGTAGTTTATAAAAAAGAATTTTGCCATTTTTGAAAACATTTCATGCATTAAAGGCACATACGTATAACCTTATCTTAAAGTATAATAAATATAAAAACAATGCACAAATGTCTACATTACATTACATGTCACTTGTTAGACGCTTTTATCCAAAGCGACTTAAAGTCTAATAACGAATACGATAGTGCCACTGTTTCTTTTAACTGTAATATTGAGGTTATATGAATTTGGAAAAATGTATCAAAAACATTCTGATTCTGATCATCCATACCAGCTTTCCTTTCAAGCTTTTCTCAAAGTTTTTAAATGTGTCTTGACAGAGAACATTAGAAAGTATAAATGAGAAGTGCTGATTTAAATTAAAACAGTGTGCAGTAAAATAAAAGGAAGCGGGATGAAATATGTCATAATAACAAGTTCAGTCCAGAAAACGTGTATTTCACAATTGCGTTGTTATATAGTTTGTTTATGTCTTCATTTGATCATTTATTTAATGTCCTTATCATTGATTTTGAACACTTTGCGTCTCCATAGAGGCCCTATCTACCTCCGAAAGCCTTTAAGTACACAGAGGATTGGTGGCACACTCCATGTAATCATTTAAAGTCTACCCTAAAAAAAACTTAATCAATCTGTTTATGAATGTTCTAGTATCCCTTCAAATGGATAAGCCATGAACTATAGAATGAATCATGCATGCAGAGGAATGAAACCATGCTCTTGTAAAGTTTGCAACTGAGAACTCGAGCTGTGATTTCTGATACCACACAGAGATACAGAGGGTTCTCTTGATATTACATTCTTCAGGGGCTAGGTGTTTGAATGTGTATGCTGGATGTACTGCAGTGTGTTCAGGAGTAAAAGGTCTGCTATGGCAGCAGTGTGTTATGTGTACACACACTGCTTCAGCTGCTGCTGGATATCAACGGGCTGCCTGGCGGCTCAGACTCGCATTGGGGTCAGCCGGCTTTTTATAGGACCAGTCATTTAGAGACGGAGAGAGTAAGAGCCAGGTTCACATGGCCTGCCATCAGCAATTACATAAACACAACAGGCAGCATAGCAGCAGAGCATTTGGAGTTCCCCTTCTCATGTGAGCCCCACATACTGGAGGGCTCAGTTATGTTTATAAAGAAACAGATAGCCTGTAGTCTGATAGTCTGGAGCCTGGAGACGTGCTATTAAGTGGAAGGCTGTAGAAATCCTACAGATTGGATGCAAACTGAGCATGACAAAGGTCACTGCTCATGTACCACAAGCAGGCCTGGTGCCTTCCAGTGTAGCAATGAATTGCACATTCTTCAGAAAAATATATCCAAATACAATCAGCTGTTGTCAGTGGGATCCTTGTTGGGCTCTGTGGACAAACAGAGGTCTGTTTAGGGTGTGAGGAGGTTCAAAACACAATTAGGGCAAGCTGGTTTTTGTTGTTAATGACACAGCAATTAGTTGCAGATCTGAGAAATAAAGATATTTTAAATGTTAAAACCATTTGCATATGAAATACCTTAGAATACCTCCCTTATGGCAGACTGACATACAGTAAAGGGCGGGTTCATCCCAAATATATAGAAGTTAATGTATGTAAAGATTCATGGTGCAGCATTTAGTCTTCAATGGCAGCATGTGAAAGTGCACATGGAGACATTTGTCAAAACAGAGCATTGTGTAACACAAGCAAATACAGAACTGAGCATCTAACATTTTCAACCTATATCGGAATTTGTGTCATCACAAAGACACGGTAAATAATTAGCTACAATTCATGCGACACCATTTCAGTTTTATGAAAACCACTGTCCATATAAATCTTCACATGTTCATCAAGACAACATGGCCAGTTATGCTATCGGCTAAGGCTGCTAAGAGCACTTTCATTTGAAATTGGCTTAAGGCTAGGTTTCTTAAATCTGACCTGAAAATGAGGACTGCAGTAATAGGTATTCAAAGAATGCAAACCACCATGCAGTAACTTGTTGTTTAATAGGCTGGATTTACTGTCTCATAAGACAAGTTCCAATGAGCCTCAATTCATAAAGACAGGAATAAGGACACTGGTGATTGTGGACTACAGCCAACTGGAACTGTTGCTGTCAAATAGTTCACGTCAGCTCTCTCTGACAGACAGTCTTTAAGTTCAGAGAATATTTTCTCTTGTCCTGTTCGAATAGAAAATGATGGTTATGAAAGTATCACAGTATTATGTTTAGTTTGCCTGACCTAGAGAGTCAGTACACACAAAGTACACAACTGTGGTTGGAGTCCAAAAGCTGTAGCACTACTGTACAATGGAAAGATTTCCAGCTAAAACTTATGAAATGCCCACACTTTTCCAGTCTGTAACACTTCTAATCAAATTGTTCTTTGGGGTATGATATGTGTGAATGTTGGCATGCTGGTTAAATGCGCTTGAAGTGGTCAAAAGACTAGAAAGGTGGTATGTAAATGCAAGTACATATACCAAGTCCAAGAATAGCAGCAGAATTTAGAGGAAAGTGTTGATTATATTGCTATATTTCTTCAATCACTGAAAAAATGTGTACCTTCAAGCAGAAAACAGCTATCATCAGCTGGAGTTCATACCGAGTTATGTCCAAAAAACGAAAAGTCCAAAACAATCTGATTTTCAGCATTATTGTAAACAACGTTAGGAAATGTGCTCTCAAACAACATGTTCTAAAATTACAAAATGGGTTCCAAGCATTTTGATATCTCCGATTGCAAAAAGTAATAATGACTTTTTCTCAATCATTTTGTCATTAATAAACTTCCGTACAGCTTTAATCAATTTGTCTCTATTTATGTGTTCATTTGAACTTAGTGTGTTTTTTTCTTTCTCCCCAACAGGGCCGGGTCTGAGTGGACGCTGGACTGTAATGTCATTTGTCCTTTTGTCATTTATTTGAATCGACAACACAATCTCTTTTCTCTTATTTGTTGGGTTTTATGCAGTGTCAGGACTTTGTCACAATGAGTCACAAAATACTATTAATATAATGTGTCTGTTGAACTGGGTAGACTTCCTGGTGGTCTCTCTTTGTGTGTCTCTTGGTAAGTTATGGTCTAATGACAACATGGATACAGGTTGTGTGATGTTGAGGGTTTTTTAATTAAGTCATTTATGATTCATAGCACAAATCCTTTAATTGGAATGTCAAGTTTATGGTTTTTGTCTTCCAAGCATTTCGTGCATGTAGATGGTCTGCAAAGGCTGACATCCTCGTGTTCCCTGCAGAGGGAGTTTTGCTAGCAGGCAGTGAAAGTGGGACCTCAGGAGGACTCTACTGTTTGACCTGCAGACGGATGTTCTTTTAGTCCCGTTAGACATGCACTTCTTTGTGTTTCATTGTTTCTGAGGAATCATGTTGCCACTCACTTATTGTTTTGTACTAAATAATTCAGACTGTTGATCTGCTGGCCAGTTCATCCTTTCATTTTGAAACGTTTTGTTACTTTACTGACTTTATGCTAAGACACACGTTATTTTATAATAACTGCAATAAAAATGATGTAGTTGTTATAAAATAATTTAACTCTTGGATTTTTTTTTTAATAGTGTTCATGTTTATTGGTATTATATTGAAATTGATAATACAACGATTATAAAAGTTGTGTTGGCATATTAGTTATTTAGTAATAGGAAGTTTACAAATAGCTAATGCTTAACTGTTATCACTGTTTTGGATTGAAATGAAGTTTATCACATTATTGTGATTGTGTTGGGAATACGTGTTTCATTAAGATTGAAAAAAAGTCTAAATGAAAGACAGCCCATTATACAAAATCATTCTGATTTATGCTCAGTTTTTAGCTTTCAATGTGATATAAGTCTTCCGAAACTATTTATATTTCTGAAAGCTCCACAAATTGTGTATTCTCCTTTAATGTGCATTTTCCCATTCTCCAAATTGTAATAGTTTGTCAATGAACTCTCTGGCCTCTGCCAATAAATGTGCCACTGTCACTGTTTTGGGGATGTTGCAGCATTTTGCAAATCATATTGTAGCAGTTGTTGAATGTCCATGGAGAGTAGCTCTTATTTTCCTAATGTGCAACAGAGGAAAAGTACATTTAGTTGTATAGGGAAATTAAATTCTTTATAAGTGTAAATAATCATTTTAACAGGTCTAAAGAAAGGCCTGCTGTTCTGATACAAAGCCTTGCACAAGGACCCTGGAACAGGGTGGGGGTTTGAAGCTTCCTGCTGCTGGATGGTTCATATTTTGAAGGTTTAAGAAAGTTGACGTTTGTGACCTCTGACATGAGGATAACTTTTTTTTGGAATCAATACTGAAGGTTTGATTCAATGTAGAGAAGAAACAGAACAATCTTGTCCCAAAGTGAATGTGATGCTCTAAGTATAGCCTAGTTTAGGTTTGTCATTTTGATGTGTTTTGTGTACAGTGTTGTTTCAAAATGATGTCAAGAATACCGCATGACATGTTTCATCAGATGCTGTTTTGTAAAATGCTGTGTGAAACTGTAATAAACACGAACCCTTTTGCACAACGGACTGTTGTGTTGTCCAAGGATTGTTGTTCATACATGACCCAAAGTACGAACCACAGGCATGTAGTCGAAGTAAAGTTGATTTGACTTGTTTGGATTCTTTAAGCAAGACCAACATTGTTTTGCAAAGAATCACAGAAAAACAAAATGGAGGTAGAGTGAGAATTGTCTGTTTTGTCTCCCTGTCTTTGCGGGTCGCATTTGGGCACTAGACAGAAAAATATTTAAAATACTCTGAATAAACTTTAAATAATGTGTAAAAATAAAAAGGTTTATTTCAAAAAATACAGTATGGAGGGATAGCAAGCTAAAAAATGTACAACATTAACTTTTTTTTAATTAAAGTGTCTGTATTTGACCAATATCATATATAAGCACACCACAAAAGATACAAATACAGTCCCATACCAAAACACTTAAAAACTCAAGAGATGCAAAACCAAATATGACAAAATGTCAAATACCAAAATCAATCAATGAATTAAATGACGACTCATTGCTCAACGTGTAGTGAGTGTAAATGAGTGTGTTGTTGTGAGAAGTCTGTGCGTCCTTTTACACTCTGAAAATAGTCCAGTTCAACTTCAGATTAGTGCAGTTCAAAAGGATATGGGTATGTATGAATGGAGAGTTCACTTGAGTTCCGTGTTGTGTGTGGGTGCAGGTTTATGTGTTGGGGGGGGGGGTGATCTGGAAAGACGCAGAGAAGAACCTAGCTTAAGGTCCAAGTCGGGTAGGTAAAATCGCAGAGGAGGACAAGTAGGTCAAAAGAAGATTTGTTGAATATTAATTGTATTACAGCTTTCAATAATCCAGATTATTGTACAGCAATTTCTGGGATCAGTGACATTCCAAAAAACAGCATGGTAGACGAAAAAAATCCCCAAAAATTAAGGTAGGTTAATAAACTGGAATGACTTCCACTTCTTTCCTCTTCCAGTCTTTTTCCACAGCTCTCTTTTCTCCTACTGTATGTCGATTTGTCAGCAGTTGAATGTGATCTCCTCCCTTCACACTCACAGGTGTGGATCATTAGAGCTTCCTCCAGCTCTCAGGTGTGCCACTCCCCTATAATATTCTTGTGTTCCCCCCCTTTCTGCTACAGCATTTAACACAAGCACCCATACACAACAGTAGGTAAGTGATCTGGTGTGAATACTCACTATTGTCCACTGTGAAGGCAGAACGCCGAGTGTTACGCGGCCCCTGACCTATTCAAGTATATTTATTCATGGGACAATTCACTTATTAGCTGGAAATGGAACAAAGACTTTCTGGAGGCAGACAGTCTTTCAGAGATAGACGTTGAGTTGGACAAGTTTCAAAATGTCATTTGGTGATATAAAGTGCAAACTGAACAATTCAGGCGTCAAGGTTGTCTCTTGAGAATCATTTGTTTTTTGTCCACAGTTGACCAAGTTATAACTGAGACGGGATTACATCTCTGGTGTTGTTTTTCTAGGAGTCCCATTCAACGCTGACTATTTACTGGCTTAGCACTGATGAAGTTGGAATGTGTGCTAAAGTGTTAGAGGCGCTCCTGCTGTCTGTGGGCACATATAGAAAGTGGGTTATGAGGGGATGACTGACACATGATCATGTTACAGAGCCCTGACTGTAAACACACAGAGGCACTGTGTTCGCAACACATTCCATATCATCATAAGCAATAACAAAAACATGAGCGTCTGGCTATTCTTCAGTGCCTTCTTTGTTAAAAATCTCAACAGATCAGCATCATATTTATCAAATGGCCTTTGAGTGAGTAGATTGTTTTTGCCAACTGACATTATATCTTGGCAGGTACAATCTTGGTGACCCTCCCTCACCCAAGTGTAGTGCCATAGGTTATAATAGTTGTGTAATAAACTGTGCATTAAGGGGTCATATAATATCAAAAGTTCACCTGTAATGCACAATATCTAACAAAATAAATCATTATTATTATTAAAGTTATTGTTATTATATTATTTAAATGTATTTGATCTAAGTGGTTTAGTTTTGAAATTGTTTATATCGAACACATTTTAATTGGAAAAAAAGATAATAAATTATTACATGAATACATTAATAAGTGTAGTTTCAGTCTGCGGCTCCTCTCCCAGCGGGTGGCGGTAGATCGCCTGTTAGCTGTTAAACCTGAAAGAGAAGAAGACAGGCTGCATGTGGAAATGTGTTGCTCAGATGAAGTCGTTATTTATCTTCTTAGCGTTTGTCTGGCTGTCTATAGTTATATATCATAACAGGGTGGTGACGTTCTTTTAAAAGCTTTCGTTCCAAGTGAAGTTATACAAATAAGCATACGGTTAAATGCTGACAGTTAGCTTTCAGCACAGCAAGCTAACATCAACAGCTAGTTCACACAGCAGCATTAGCCACCAGCAGGCTAACATCAACAGCTAGTTCACACAGCAGCATTAGCCACCAGCAGGCTAACATCAACAGCTAGTTCACACAGTAGCATTAGCAACCAGCAGGCTAACATCAACAGCTAGCTGAACCAGCAGCATTAGCCTCAGCAGTTAGTCAGTTCTGCTCTCACACATGGCTGCTGAGAGCGTGAAAAGTGAAGCCTTACCCCAGCAGGAGAACGATAATGGAGACAGCAAAAGCAGTCAGAAGACAGTGGGCAGTAACGGAGAAGCAGAAAACCAAAGTTTGTCCAAAAGGCAGAGAAAGAAGCAGCAGAAGCAGCACAAATGGGAGGAGGAGAGGGAGCTCAGAAAGTGAGTTAATTGTAAATTCTTAAATTTTTTCTCTATTAATGCATTCAACTATAGAGGTGCGACAGCTTTATCAATGGATAACATATGCTGCTTGTCCTTTTTAAGTATTAAAGTGTTATTTTCCAAGGTTGACACAGGGCTTCCTTGCATGCAATACTCCATTCAAACTGTTGTCAGTGAATGGTTGTACTACTTGCAATGGTGATTTAAAAATGAGTGCACTTGAAATCTGGTTTTATATTATATGATAAATTGTGCTGACGATTTTGTAAACCCTTTCACTCTCTGCATATAAGAGAGATGCATGTCCTGTGTGTGTAGGTGTGTCATATTCCTGATGCAGCAATACATTAAAGGATAAGTCTAGTGATGTTCACATAGTGTTAAAGAATTCCAGAGAATGATCAAAGTCCACCATCATTGATCATACTAACAGGGAGGATATACTCCTGTAATACTTTCTGCAGCACCAAATATTTGACTACAGGTCAAGAGTATATCGCAGGCTGTCATATTCATATTTGTCCTTCCCTTTCTTCTGCAGGCAGAAACGTAAGGAAAAGAAGCAGCAGCGGCGACTAGAGAGGCACAGTCACAAGGAGGAGGAGGGAGGGGAGGTGCAGAGCTCCAGGAAGCGTCTCCGCAGAGACGTGACGCCCAGCGCTCTGAGGCTGCTGTTGGACTGCAGCTTCGACAGCCTCATGCTCAGCAAGGTAAACAGGCCGGATGCTGTGGAGGAATGTCCAACATGACATCCTGAGGTAACTGACGAATGATGGTGTTGTGTGTGCAGGATGTGGGGAAGCTCCACAAACAGATCCAGCGGTGCTATGCTGAGAACAGACGAGCCTTGCATCCAGTGCAGGTGAGTGAACACTGACTGTTACAAAATAAACAGTTTTAATAAGAGATATTACATTTCGTTGAGCCAGAGTTGGAAGATGTATTCTGATTATTAACTTAAGGAAAAGTAGCAATACCACAGTGTAAAAAATACATAGTTACAAATAAAAGTACTGCATTAAAATGTGTACTTACATTTAAAAGTATTAGCGTCAAAATATACTTTCAGTTCCAAAAGTATGAGTTATGCACAAAGACAGATATTTTTAAATGTATTTTATTAAAACTATTGGTGCATTAATGTGTTCATCACTTCAGTGTTGTACTCGGTAAAGGAGGGGTTTATTTGAATTTCTTTATACACTACTGGGTAGCTTAACCTATACTAATATAAGATAATGTATGTGTTGATTTATATTTTGTATTAATAATCTAAATCTGCAAAGTAAATAGTAAATGTAGTGGAGCAAAAGTACAAAGTAATATAATGAGAAAATACTCAAGAGAAGTACATCTTTTTTTACTCAAAGGTGACCTATCATGCAAAATGCACTTTTGTGCGTCTTTTATACATGAATATGTGTCCCCGGTGTTCCAGGGAACTCACCAAGTGTCAGAAAACACAACCCTCTCTTAGGGCTGGGCGATAAATCGATTTTATCGATTAACTCGAGTGTGTAGTTCACGTCGACTTGTTTAAATGAAAATCGGTTTTCTCTTCAACATCCGCCAATGCTTCCCTCTGGGCTCCCGTAGTTCGGAATGGGCTCAGCCCTCCCCCGCACAGTGCGCGCATTTACCAAATAGAGTGATACACAAACAACATGACAACGAGCAGGGAAGAACTTGTTCCAAAGAAAGGCACGGTGTCATCCGTTATTTGGAATTAGTTGCGTTCGCGAGGTCAGATTTAGACCAGACAACACCCCGCTGCAAAGTATGTTTGAAGTCTGTTGCTAGCAAAGGCAGCAGTACGACAAATTT